ATCCATGCACCAAAACCTAAATTTCCTTTTGGAGCAGCAAAGAAAACACAACAATATGCCGAACAACGTTTACTAGGGTAATATTTTTATAAATAATAAAAAAAATTCTCTAAATCTTTTCTCTTTGTATACTTATGTAGTTATACATCCGCCGAGATGTACACTGTGGTTGTTGACGTAGCAAGATATCGTGAATTTGTTCCTTGGTGTATTCGATCAGATATACTTAAACCAGTATATCCAAATATGTTTAAATCAAATATGGAAATTGGTTTTCAAGTCGTTAAAGAACAATATACAGCGTTAGTCACTCATCAAAAACCGACACTAGTTAAAGTATGATTTGTTTGACATCTATTTTAATTTAAATATGGTTTGGTTTTTTTCAGTCTGTTTGTACTGATGGTCGTTTATTTAATTATTTAATAACAGAATGGCGATTTTTACCCGGTATTGACACAGAACCTCGATCATGTACTCTCGATTTTTTTGTATGTTTTTATTTTGTATTTTACAATGAAAGAGAATTTTGCGAGTTGAACAAGAGAATGTTTCAAAACGATATATTGTTTTTTGGACTAAGAACTATTTGCATCATGTAAGTCTTGATAAGCTTTGCATATCCTGAAAAGAGCTTACATAACGCATTTTTACGGTATTTTTTATCACAAAATCGTCGTTTCTCTCAGAAACACTAGGAAAACTGAATTTCCACTTAAGTATTGCATAGAGACAGGTCTCAACGAGAATAGTTTATTGTGAAAGTTTCAGATCTTTTCTTTGTTTCTATTCTAAGATGCAATTATAGTAAAATACATTGACAAATCCCTATATTCTTATTTCAGAATCGGTGCAATCAAATGATCTGAAACTTCATAAAAAATTATTCTCTTTAAGGCTTGTGTCTATGTGAAATGTCAATAGAAAGTTGAAAAATCAGTTTTCCTAGTGTTTCTGAGGAGTCTACGACATTATACTAAAAAATATCGTAAGAATATAGTATTACATGACTGCAATAGACAAACAGCATGAAATCTCATCAAGGTATTCATGGTTCATTAGGACCTACATGGTGCATATTATCATGATGACTAAAAATTGATTTATCAGCAGGAGATCTTCTTTCATAAGCGAGACATATCTATAATAATGTTATTCTAGTAGTGAGATGGAAAGAAGACGTTCTAATGATATTGTTTAGTAACATTTTTTGAGTAGAATTATGAAAAAGAAAATATTATCTGGACAACTTTCAAAAAAAAAGAATTCCAACTATTTCATTATTTTTTCTTCGAATTATACACGGCTATATTTAAGTCGTGAGATAATTCTTAGAATACTTACCTTATCTTTCAGGACGATTTCATATAGAAATACTTTTCGATCAAGCGTAATTTAAAATCAATCTGTTGTACAAGATTAAGCTCTTAATTTAAGTACATTGAAAAATTTTGTATTTTTACATACTAATAAATACATATTATACATGATAGTTACTATTGTTTCACTATATAGTGAATAGTAACAAAGACAGAATCATTACTAGTAGTACAGTTTTTATTGAAAAAAAAATACTTCATGTTTTATGTCCTTGTTTTGTAAACGTATGCAACATACTTCGAAAAAGTTCGTTTTCAGAAAGTATGCAATAAATTACATACAGTTATTTACCTGTTGATCTTTTCTTAGCAGTATGTAATTTAACGATATCGGAAATTTCCATTGACAGAATCTTGATAAAATGGTTATTTCTTTTTGAAAATTTTTAGGTCTCATTTGAATTTCGATCAATGTTACATGCTACATTAGCACATATGTTTTTCGATGAAGTTGTTCGTCAAATGGTATCTGCTTTTCTTAAACGTGCTGAAAAACTTTATGGACCACCATCAATGCCATCAAAACGTCTTCGATAAATTGTTGTTTTCTTTTTCTGAAAATTTATTTTTAAATTAGTATTTAGCTTTTTTTTTTCTATTTTTTTCGTGTCTATAAAGATTATTAAAATATATTATTTTTAGATATCAATTCTTTTCTTGTTATTAATATTCATTACAAATCGTTATTGTTTAAAGACATATTAAATTATATAAAATTTTGGCTTCAGTTTGAAAACATTTTCAACTACTTATCAACGACACCAAAAATAGAAAACTGTCTTAAATCCTTCATTATATTGAAAAGTGACATTATTCGATTTAGTAGTATAATGAAGTTGTATGGGATAGAAATCTAAAGCTGATACGAACAATTTGTTCAAATTCGAATAAAGTTTTTAGAGTTTGAAAATTTGACTAAAAATGTTTTTTTTGCTTCACAGTTTTTCAATGTTGATACATACCATTGATTAGAAAAGCATTTCGTCGATAAATATGTGACTCCGAATTTCTTTGAGTTTTATCTGTAATATTTATAAATATAAATATGGAGGTCAAAGTACAATGATCTTCAATTGAAGCAATTAACGGATACAGGTAATACGAAGTTAAATACTTCCATCATAATTGATTTGTTTTGTGTTGCCGTCTATGTATTTTATTTTGTTTCACAAAACTTTAATAAATCTACAACATTCTATATTATTCAATAGCTGGAATGAAGCTCTAAAAAGTTCTATGTATAACATTGTCACTTGATCTTTTAATTCAGGTTAGAATCAGGATAGAACAACAATTATAAGTTAAAAGATACTCTAGAACTTTGTTTTTATATAAATAAAATGAAGACCGTCTTAGTGACTGATAATATCGAGTATGATTTATCCAATATGTACTGTCTTGACGAAAATGTTGATGATAACCATATAGATCGTTAGTGTATTTTTAGTCATAGATCAACAAGAAAACATGAAATTCGAAATTCAATACTAGATTCATAAGCAATGAGGCAGTTAAATTCGACTATGCATCATCAAAATTTGTAAAGAAAAACTTATAGAACTTCCGATTCACATACTTATCGATATATGGCTTTGCCAATAAATCACATACATCAACATCGAAATACATTAAATAAAAGAGAATTTTTGATCAAATTAATCGGTTTTTCAAACTCTAGAAACTTCACACGAATTCATTATGATATCATATTGAGTAAAATCTCGCTTTTCAATAAAATCAAGTATCCATGACAGTTCTTTATTCTTGTCTTGTCAATGATTATTTTAGACATACATTAGATTGAAGCATTTTTTAATACTGAAGTCAAAATTTAATATGATTTAATGTATGTTTTTACGCGAAGTCTAAGGAGGCTCCTACATTTTATTTTTGATCGTTTTCTTAGTGAAATGAACAATAAAAAACACTTCGGTGAAATTCTGGTAGAACAATGAGTTTTTCAATTGTTTTTTTAGTTTTGAATTGCTTAGGTTAATTCCAATCTATTTTCATGAAAACAAAATGGTTTAGAAGAAAGCGTCTTCTTACTAAAATACTTTGAAATAACAGCTGCACATCAAAAACGCTAAAGATTTTATCAAAATCGGTGATTATTGTTCGATGTGTCATTTTGAAATATGAAATGATCTTATAAAATCAACACAAACAAATCAATAGATAGTATCAAATTTAACATTTCATGTATTCTAGACTTGATTTTCACGATAATTGCATTGTATTTTTGAATTGAAAGTACATAGGTTTTAAAAATGATTGTAATCGAGTATGCAAAACATCATAGCAATAGAAAATACTCAGAACATATACAACCAATTTGACTTCATTATGTATATTAATAAAAATAGAAATTAACTATGAATCATCATATATCGTTCACTTCGTAAAAATCCAATAAACGGAATGTATTAAGGAAAACATATCTAAACTTCTTCACAAAACGGAATTTCAGCTTAAAGATGATAATTTTCTGACATAATAGACGCTTACTATGTCCAACGTGAGTACAAAACGACTAATCTAAGAAATTGGATAGATTAGCTCATTACTTCAAATAATTTAATTATACAGTTTAGTAGTGTGAGATAGCTAAATATTTGATTGTTATAATACTCGTAAGATCTGAACTATCCATCTTTTAAAACTGAGAGATTTTTATTTCATAATCAAAGGTTTACTTTATGCTTTTGTCAAGATAATTAAAATGTCTTCTTTTATTTTTGTATTGTGTACAAGCATTTTCTTTGCTAACATATTGTATTAACTGTTACTATTCGTATTCATACCAGGATCCATCGAGTAGTGGCGACAGATGAGTAATGTGAATGTGAAAAATACTGTAAAACACTCATTATTTTGTCTACTAAATGGCATCGAGGCAGAACTGGCAACCAATCTGTTATTTTACAGGAACTATTGTAGATATTCTGAAATCGGTCATATAATTTGAAAATTTCGATTTATTCATTGTGAAACACTTCTATACTTCTAAGTATAGCTCATTGCAAAACAAAATTTGGTGTAGTAAAAGCCTACTAGGCTATTCTTCTGTGAAGGGTTTAATTAAAAAAAAAAGAATTCATCACAAAATGATTTTTGATTCACACGTATGTAGATCGATTACGTATTCATGCATAAATTTATATTTTAAAAGAAATTTTTATTACCAATTGGGATTTTTCTTTTCGGATCTATTTACATACAATCAAAACAAAAACCTGTTTTCTGATGATTATGACAAAAATTCTTCTGAAATAAATTACAATTTGCAATTATCAAGGAAATAAAAATAATCTTTGTTTTTAAACAAGTGACGAAATATTCTTTTTTGATAAATACCTTAGAAATTTCGAGATTCATGTGAATAAACATGTTTTCGTATTTCTTATCGTAATCCAAATAGAACTTGCGTATTCTACGATATAAAGTTCTTTTATTTTTTCATTCTGCTAAAAAAGGTCATATTAAGGTTATTTTTTTTTCATAATATAAGAAAAGGATGACAAAGAAAAAAACAACCTAGAGGAAATAAATAAATACAAACGTTTGTCATAACTACTATTGCATTTTTCTTTTTTGACAAAAATAAGTAGAGTAGAAAAGATGGACACGACTTTTACAGCTTTTCGAGCAATGTTCTACTTACTTTTACCATCTGAAACATATTATGAACAACTTGTAGATGTTCCAGATTATGTTGTCAAAGTAAATAAAATTAAAAGGAAGTTTTTTTTTTAAAAACTTTTCAACTATTTCAGGTTATTCAACTTTTCTTTGTTTTACAAGCATTAGAGCTCGTTACTTCTATTTATCGAGGAAAGAAATTACCACGTTTTAATGACGTATTCAGTTCAGTGGCAGCTGGTATTATTTCACGTATACCGCGGTATGAAAATATATATATATATATATTGCTAAATATTCCTTTTTCTTTTCTATTAATTAAGACTATTTTTTCGATCAATTGAATTGTCAACATATATATGGGTATATGAAAACGTTCGTATTTTTCCACGATTGCCATGGAATTCACCAATAACATATTGGGTTACATTTCTCGGAGTAGATCTTGGATATTATTGGCTTCATCGTATGGCACATGGTAAATTAATAAACAGTTCTTATCTTTTATTGAAATGTTTATTTAGAGGTCAATCTTTTTTGGGCTTCCCATCAAGCACATCATTCATCGGAAGATTATAATTTATCAACAGCACTTCGACAAGGTGTTATGCAAGCGTATGCTTCATGGATGTTTTATTTGCCACTCGCTTTATTTGTTCCACCTCCAATATTTTTAATTCATACACAAATGAATTTATTGTATCAATTTTGGATTCATACTGAAGCCATATCAAATCTTGGCCCATTTGAATATATACTAAATACACCAAGTCATCATCGTGTTCATCATGGAAGAAATCCATATTGTATTGATAAAAATTATGCTGGAGTTTTTATTATATGGGATCGTTTATTTGGTACATTTGCTGCTGAACGTAAAGATGAGCAAATAGCTTATGGTCTTATACATCCAATAAAAACATTTGATCCATTAGAAACACAAGTAATTTAAAAATTGATTTGATAAGAATACAGTTGTATTTTTTTTTACTATTTTAATAGTTTGTCCATCTAAAATATATGTTTAAACAATTTTTACAACGTCAAGGATGGCAAAATAAATTATCTGTTATTTGGAAAGGTCCAGGATGGGCACCAGGTTTACCTCGATTAGGTAGTGATAAGTTCCCAGAAGTAAAACATCCTATTCGTGTTTATCATCCAAATGTATCAACAGCATTATCATTATATACGTTTATACATTTTGCATATGTTTTAATACAATATAGTGCAGTACTTAAATATTCAAAAGTAAATTAAATGTTGAAATATTTTAATATTTATTCATTTATTTATTTATGTTCGTTTTTTTTTTAGAATTATTCAGTTGTAGCATTATTGCTTTATTCAATTATTTTAATTTATACTTTACAAACATTTGGTGCTATTTTTGATCAAAAGTAAATTATTTTTCTTGTTTTATTTTGATTAATTGTTGGCTTTTCTTTCTTATAGGAAAAATGCACTTCATTATGAACGATTTCGACTTATTTTAATGTTACTTCTACCCAGATTAACTTTAATCAAATCACTTTTTCTTCTTCAAACACATCTAATCATTCAAATAGCCATTGTTTTATCCATTTTTGCTACATTTTTCGTTCCACAGGTTTCTACTTTGACAAAGAATGTTCCTCTAAAAAAAGAATAAATATTGATATATTTGTATCATATTAAATTTATTGTTAAAATACAGTGATGTGACAAATAGATTTGAATAATATTTTCTTTATTAAAACAAATAAGTAAAATTTTTATATATTTATTAATATATTGTAGCTATACCTACTATCAAGTTAAACAGATCAGTTTATAATTGCATATTTATTATTTTCCCATCAGCAAAAAAAAACTTTTTAAATGATTGAATTAACCAATAATAACAAAGATAATGAAAACAATTGAGCTGAAAAAAAATTAATTATATCATCTTGTACTGTATAAAAAAAATGAAAGGAAAGATTGTATTTCAATAAAACAATCATATAACAACGTGAAGCTAGTTTATTAAGTCCAACAGCAATATCTGTACGTTTCATAGCTGATATTGCATCCTTTTCGAGAACCAGAAATGCCAGAAAAGAAGGAGGATGAATCTTAACTTACAAACTAATTTAGTTGCTAACTTAAGTTAGTTATAATCTTGTTATATCACTATAATTACTAAGTAGAGGTAGAAATCAATACACATAATATACAAATGTTTCTATTACTTTACATATTATCTTAGAATATCGAGAAAGTACAGATTGTTGAATTTCAGTGAAATAGTTTTGAAGAAAGTATCTACTGACTTCTTAAATAGATAATGATTATCAATGTTATATTTTTCGTTATGGTAGAAGTTAATTTTTTGCTAGATTCTATATTTTGTCGAAAATAAATGAGTAATACATTTATTTTCTATGAAATTCATGACGTTGTTTTATTTTCAATAAATTTACAAAATTAACAGAACTAATAATAACTACTATTGATATTAACGAATAATTTTCAAATCAAAACAATCATTCAAAACATAGTATCAACATTATCTTGAGTATTCATTGTACTATAGTCATCAATAAACATAGATAGAAATATAAATTATAAAATTCTGTTTGTATTTTACTTCATTAAAATAGGTAGATGAATTGGTGAAGTGTTTCTTTGTTTTTGTAGTTGAAAACTAATTTTGTATGTTATGAATCTATCCATTATTATAAACTAATATATATATATAAAATAATAGTGATTTTAAACTCATCTACATTCGTGTTACAAGTATCGATGCACAATCTCTAATATTATTTTTTTTTAAATTTTGGATATTGATGCTAAGCAATGATGTGTGACGATTTATATGTGTAACGTCATAAAATAAAAGCAGAAGAAAAACATTTTTTGATACATTCATAGATACGTGCATATTTATTTATATCGCCATATTATTTTATGCCCGCGATAGCAAAAAATTGTTCACATTGTGCAAGAAAAGTTCTATGAAATAGTTTCTATTATATAAAAATTTATCTTATTCAATTTATATCTATTTTATATCCATAACTGCATGTTAAATTAATGGATAAACAATTTGATTTTCGAGTTCTATTACTTAAACTTCAAGATTATTTATCAGATAATGATCGAAGACGTCTTCATTTTATTGTTGATGATACTATACCAAGACATTTACGTGATGATTCAACACTTGGTGGTACACTTAGTCTTCTTGAATCACTTTTTGATCAAGCAAAAATTAGTGAACAAGATTTTAATTATTTAATTCGTGCATTCAATGAAAAACATTATTATGAAGGTGTTAAACGACTTCAAGGTATCTTAATTTATTTTTAGTTCTTTTACAATATTAGTTTTAGAATATCAATTGAGAAAACAAAGTCGTAATCGAAATGAAACCAACATTTTGACAAACATTGAAATTAACGAAGAAAATAGAATCAGTGTAATTCGTATGTTTATAGAAATGTTATTAGTAGTTTTCAAGTTAATATAGATATTTTAGAAGATTTCTCAACCTTTATATCAACTGATACTTTGGAACAGCATGGTTCAACATTAACTCAATGTGTATCAATATCATTTGATAAAGAGAATAGTAGTATAGACAAAGTACAAATGCCAATCAATGGTATCAAATCTAAAAAAAAAACTCCTAAACATTGATTTAGCATTCATAAAACAAATACCAAAGTTACGATTAACAACATGTCAAATTTTACTCTTAATTTTAAATATTTTGGGTATTTTAAGTTTTGTACTAGTAATTATTCTTCTACGAAAACAACATTGTACTATGAACTACATAGACTCCGAAAGTAATTGTATGATTTTATTTATTGATAATCTATTATTTTCATTTAGATGTTCTTATAATTAGAGAAGGTATGTTATATGGTGAAAGCCTTAGTGGTGATCAATTTGATGATGCGATTGCTAATTCATTGACTTTAAATGATAAATTGATGAGTCTTATTGCAACATAGTCCTTTGATACACTTAATTCAATCACATTCATCTATTCAAATGGTAAAAAAATCACAACATGGTACTGGTGATGCCGTACGAGTTTCATTATATTCTAGTCAATTTAATTTAATGACTGAAGAAAATTTTATTGGTGTTACTATTTATAGATACTTACGTGATATAATGAATCTATATAGACCAAATGGGACTGTGATTATTGTTGGTTTACGTTTTTTGACAAATAAAGGTCGACAAAGTGAATTATTTGGTTCATCAAATGGTACTAAAAAATGATGAATTATTTTCTGATTATACATTAGCTTATGGTCGAGGTCGATCTTATGCATTTATTGATGCACTTCAATTTACTTGGTATAAACAAGTGATACAAATTAGAACAGCAATAATAGGAGAAAACTTGAATTGATTTATTTTATCTATAAAGATAAACTGTTTAAAATTTTTTCTAACAAATCATTTGTTTTATAATAGATTAGGTTTCTTTCAATAGAAAAGTTATTTGTGTCATACTCATGGAATTAAAATTTGAAAAATGATTGAACTATTAGTCTTATAAAAGACAAGATTGACCAATATATGTTTCAGTTGATGAATTTCTACGCATTGTTAATGCATGTCGATGATGAAAGATATTATAGACCACGTTTCATAAAATGCTAAAATATACACCTAATATCGATATGAAATATTATTCAACATTTGTTGTATAAATGGTCACATTTAAAACGTTATAGTTCGAAATGTGTAAATAACCAAACTACGTTGACTATTCGAAGAAAGAAAAAAAGCTTTTCAATACATCATGAAGAATGATATATTTAGAACGTCATTAGTTCATGTATTGATATGTATCATACAAATTTGTTTTCACATATACTTTACTTCGAAAAAAATTGCAAAGGAAACTAATTAATTATTCAGTATATAGTGTTATTAAATACGACATTCACCTCCACAAAATTTGTTTCCTTCCATGAGTAATGAAGTATGACGTTCTTTTATTATCGTAATAAAATATATTTATAAATGAGTGCATATCATTATTTACTTTAGGTATTTGAGAGTAAAGTTCTATTATTAAACGGAGTTTTTTTTTAGGTCTGTGCTACCTCAAGTTTCTATATAAGTAGGTTATTTTTCAATGAAAATAAAAATTTCGACTAAAATATACGTCCTTGTAATAAAAATCATTCTAGTTATTGAAAGCAAAACAATTTTTTTTAAAAGTATCTCAATCGTCTATTATAATAGATGGATGAACAATTTGATTTTCGAGTTCTATTACTTAAACTTCAAGATTATTTATCAGATAATGATCGAAGACGTCTTCATTTTATTGTTGGTGATACTATACCAAGACATTTACGTGATGATCCAACACTTGGTGGTACACTTAGTCTTCTTGAATCACTTTTTGATCAAGCAAAAATTAGTGAACAAGATTTTGATTATTTAATTCGTGCATTCAATGAAATACATTGTTATAAAGCAGTTGAACGACTCAAAGGTCTGTTGTTTTTTGTTTTGTTTTGACAAACTAATATTAATTCATTTATGTTTATATTATAGAACATCAATTAGCTCAACATCGACGAAATAAAAATGAAACTACTACAAAAAACTTGTCAGATCTATTCGATGATAATGAAGAGGATAAAATTTCTTATAATAGTAAGATGTTTTCACGGCACATTATAAATCAGTTTTTACATTAATAAAAATATTCTAGAAAATTTATCCAATTTTATGTTATCAAATAGTTCACAAGAACGTGATTCTAAAACGAGTCAAGCAACAACGACATCACTCAATGAAAATAATATGAATAAAGACAAATTACCTCTAACAAAAACAGAAGTTCAATTTGAAGAAAAACGATTTAAGATAGATTTGAAATTTTTAAAACAAACACTTAAATCACGATTAACCATCTGTCAAATTGTTTTATTTCTTTTAAATATTGTCTGTATTTTAATTGTAATATTACTTATTGTATTTTTAACAAAATCCAAGCGTTCAATTTCAGGTATATTTCCTACAAAAGAAAAAGGAAAAATAATTATTTTTCGTTTTTTATTCATAGATATTTTATTGATTAAAACAGGTAATTTCTATGGGAATATAGCAGGTGGAATTGAATTTAATGATGGTCAAGATTGTCAATTAACTTTTAATGATAAAATAGTAAATATTACTGCTGGTTGGACAACTGATACTCTTGACTATGTCAGTTTTCGTTATTCAAATAAAAGATCTATGCAACATGGTCGTCAAACATATCGTTATTCACCATACATGTCTGAATTTGTTTTAAATCCTGAAGAAAGTATTAACGGTGTAACAATTTATACAGGTACACGTCTTATTGATAATCCTTTTGCACCGAATGGTACATATCTTGTTGTTGGTATACGTTTTTATACAAATAAAGGACGATCAAGTGAACTATTTGGTTCATCTAATGGAACACAAATGGATGAAGCTTTTTCAAATTTTACAATCGCTTATGTTCGAGGTCAAGCACTTGGATATGTCGATGGAGTACAATTTATTTGGTATAGACAAATTTCATCATTGAATGTAGCAATTTTACGAACGTATTAATTATTTATAACTTTATATATATATAAATAGCGAGAAAAACATTAAATATCAATTTTTAAATGATTAGTATGTAGAATAAATATTTGTACAGATACTGACATTACGTATACATTTCTTCTCATATATCGTATTAAAAATTTTTTTGAAATTTTTATTTTATTGAAATTTGAGAAAAACTTCAGAAAGATTTTCTACTCAAATCTGTATGTAAAATTTATCATGAACCAGTAAACAAAATACAGAAATATTAAGAATATGATCAAAACATGAATTTTTCTGAACTATCGGATTTATCTCTATTCGGTTTGCTCTTGTGTTATTTAAGATTGGAATAAAATCAATCTAGTAAGAGGTACACATGTTTCAAGTTTGTATACGTGTGTCAATAGCGACGAAAATTCTTCTATACACAACTACAAGGTGTGAATTGTTCAGGGATGTATTTTTTTAGCCTTACACTGTAGTCTTTTGATTGATTCTGTATCAATGTTCGAAAATTGCAGATGGTTAAGGAACAAACCACAATTCAAAAGCTAATTTGATGTCATCAATGTACCTGTCTAAAAATATGAAACGTAACATTGATGAATTTTTCAATCCTTTCGACATTGTCTATTCTGCACAGGCAACTAGACTACATTAATCTATGATCACGTATGCATGAATCGTCAAATCAATGTCAAAATAAGAATTCATTGATGCATTAAGAATGAAATGAGACTCATTCTGTAAAGTTGACATGAACAGCATATGAATTACATTAATGCTATTGATTATTAATGACAATAAATTTTTCTGATTAACTACGACAAATGACTTGATTTCAGTTGTATCTCATGTGTGCACTGTTCGTAAATAAAATCTCTTGTAATATTGTTCAAGCATTGCTGTAGTTGCGCCTGCACTTGTATGAAACTAACTTTTTCTAAAAAAACAAAACTCAGTGCATTGTAATAGTCTCCGAAAAATTAATTGTTTTTTCGAATTTTTCCCAAGAGAGTCGTAATGGAAATCATGGTCATAATTAGCATATTGGGCAATAAGAACACAATGAACATCATGAAGGTGATGGCTGCGATTGCCGTAATAGACACTTTGCTTCCAGGTCTACGGCATTGATGAAACGCCTCAAATGATGCGTCTCGTATGTGTGTTTCGCTTTCATCAACAGTTCATTAAATAGCTTTTGAGAATTGCCCAAGAAACTCTAATATATATTCTAGCATACGAGATATATGAGATACGGGAGATATTAGAAATATATTCGTATATCCCCAATAGCTTTATATCTATACACCTAGATTTGGATAAGGGTCACGGCTAAAAATGAATCAATTTTTCATAGTGCAGCTCGATCCAAAGTAGAAAAGTGTCAAATGACTTACACCTAGAGCAATGGAATGAATATTTATAACCATTTTAATAACTTAGGAACATTCTCAATGGATTTGAATAAAGTGTCTCATTAATAGTTACATTTTATTATTGTTCAAAGTTTCTTTTTTCTTCAGATATAAAGAAACAAAATTTCAAAATGATTCAAAAAGTTCTTAAAATACTTTCGAAGAAAATTTTTTCGAGCGAAATTGTTAATGAGAAATTTTCAGAATTATCTTGTAACTGTCTGAAAACTTAATAAAATGATCATAAATCATAGACTCGTAAGAATATATTTCTAATCACATAAATCCTTTCTATTCATCAATTTTGGCAAGTGTTTAGCACCTGTTGCAAATTTATATATCTTTGAACGGTCTTCAGTGTTCATAAAGCCTTTTATGGGCGTATGAACAGAATAAACTATTAAGTGAAGGGTTTTATTATCCTACACGTTCTTTTAACAGCATAGGACCGAATAATGTGAAAACAGATGAGCTCTTTTCTCTTGCAATCATTGAAATGTTCAAGTAATACAATTAACATTTTCTTATACTGTTCTTTTAGATAAATCAACTATTTGATAGTCAATCTTTCTCACTTAAACTACAAGAAGCTTTATGTGAGGTTGATTCTCGCATTAACATTCCTCGTCCATTGCTTGATGATCATGAGTTTGATAATTCATTTAATCATCTTGACTTATATTTAGACAAGGAGAAAACTCTATAAGAATGTGAACGAGCAGTTGAAATCAATCCAATAAAAAAAATAAATTCATATTTCTCGAGTCACAAAATGGACATTATCGAAGATAAAATCAAGGACATCAAACATATATAATTCATTCTTTTTATAACCTCGTTAATATTTAACTTTTGTTTTTTCTTTAGCAAAGAGGCTACTTATCGTATTAAATGAGCATAATATATTAAAAGCATCATTGAGTAGAAACGGGAAAAAAACTCTTAAGAAATCTTAAAGTCTAAAATCATGAATTAATAAAATTTATCAACCAAGATTTAAAAAAAAAACATGATATCATCATGCTTATTCTGAATATCAATTTCTTAGCTGAATCATCTCAAGAAGTATTGGTTGATGTTTAAGATTAGGTTATTCAGAAACGTCAATAAAATTTTTTTTTTTTCTTTTATCATAGAAGTAATTGTTAAGAAAAGAAGAGATTGTTTGAATGATTCTGGAGATGAAGAAGTATGTTATAATGTTGAGACTGCTACATTCATCTTTAATAATAATGTTACTCCTACGAGAGCTTTGTAATTATTTGACGCAAGTGGTTTGTTTTCAAGTCTATTAATCGGAAATAAGTGTTATATTCTTATAATTATTTTAGGTTCGTCACTGTTACTTTCTTCAACCTTCAACTATTCTAATGGTACAAACAGACAAAGAATAGAATGATTATTGCTCATTTTGAGTGATAGAAAGATTGAAATCTATTCAAATCAATTCCTAACGAACATAGTCATATAAATAATCATATATTGGTACAAATATTGTTTAAAAGAATTCATCAATTATTGAATAAAATAATACTAAAATCAATATTATTTTCTGTTCAATTATATATTGAACAAATATATATATAATGAAAAAACAAATTGAAAAAGAAAATGTTTTTTTTTACATTTACTTGATAATATAAGTACAATAAACGCTTATTAAAAATTCTGAGCTACAAGCGAAGATGATTTCTTTAAACATGAAAATAAATATTTATCAAATATAATTGCTTTACAGAATGATGATAGTGCAAATGAAAGAAAACAAGAAGAATACTCGATTATGCTACTGATAATACTTCAAAGAATAATCAAAATCAAGGTTCCAATTAAAAAAATAACTCTGGTAAACTTAATCGAGCCGAGAATAGTTTGGAAGAGAATACCATAAACATATGGATATGTAATTATTTTAGTACGTTTTTCTTCGTATGGAATAGATCAGTAGACCTAGTAAAAGAATCAATAAAATCAATTAGAAATAAATAAATGAAATTTGAATAAATTATTTTTATAATATTAAAGAATTAATAACAATGAAATGTTCTTGAATGAAGAATTCATAAGAAGAAAACGACAAATAATTTAATCATCATCATCATCTGCAATATGTTTTTGTGTTATGTTCTAACAAAAGAAGTATAGTGTTTTATATATATCGAAAATATTGTCAACGATCAATATTAAATCAATATAACTTGATTTGTGGACTGTAAATTAGTTAATTATATTTACATTTCAACGAATGTATAATTCTGATACATTAAAGGGTCATGTCGAACCACATAAGATTCAATGAAAAGACCGTAAATGCATCACTCTGTTGAAGAATCAAAATATGGAAAAATGCTATTGAGTAGAGAAAAATAAAAGTATTGATTTCCGTATAGGAGATATAAGAGTATTCATGATTAAATAATGAAGATTTAGATCCAAATAAATTCCATAAAATGATTTCCCTTTAGATTAAAAATAATCTGATCATTGTTTAATCACAAAGCCGATTAAATCTCTTATTTTACAATCGTTTCAAAATGATTCTTTTTTACTAATTAAAATCTAGAAATTCACATAAAATATGATTGCAATAAACATCGTAACTAATTTACATAATATGTAACCTAAACAAAATGAATAATTCTATTGAGCTAATTAAGAATTATTGATAAAAAAAAAAAAAAAATAATTCTTCACTTATCCTACCAAGCAAAACTTGCATATGTTTATTCTTAAGGGAAATCTTTTTTTTTTTTATTCTTTGTTTCTTTTTTTATATCGTTTTATTTTTGTTATATTCTTTTGTATGAATAAAAGCAAATCTTTTGGGATTTTTAGACGAAAAAAGAAAAAGAAAATAGAAACACCTATTGGATAATATTGCAATATATTAAGTGTACTTTTGATTACATATTTACCGTATGAAACAAAAGTGCCGAAAACATTTCATATTAATACAGGTAAAACAAACACAAATGACTGTTTGATTATTATATATTAGGTTTATCAGATATTTTGTTAAGTATCATTTAGATAGACACATACTAATATATAATGATTTATCTTTTGCTGTTTTCTGTATAATGTTATAATTTATAGATCCAACAACAGTGCTTCCCCTTAATGATTTTTTGCTTGTTTTCTTTCGAATATATCCCGTTAGTTATTTGTGCCCGATATCTATACATAAAAGATATAAATTTGCCTGTCAAAGACGATAAGTTGAAGAACAGCCACTTGTTTTCTACATTTCATGACAAAAAAAAAATGTGGATAGCATACGAGATAGTAAGAAAAAGAGAACGAGAAGAAAAAAAAAACAGACAAACAATGTTATCATCATCTCTTTCGTTCTATTTGTTGTCAATGTCACCATAGAAAAAAATTTTTTCTGCATGAATTCAGTAATATTTTTTTTTCTTGTTTTGGAAAATTCAACCGGTAAATATTGTGAATTCAAATGACAACTAATCTAAATTTGAATATTTCATGTTGCTAGTAAGATAAAGAAATGATTTTTGAAGATATGGGAAGTCCTGTCCATCGTTCATGTGTAAAATAAGTAATTATTTCAACTTTTTTGCACATTGACATTTACTA